TGGATCCCGTTCATCAACAAGGTATTCCAGGAGGCCTGCAGACGCAATGGCCGTCTGTCTTGTCTGTCCCACGCCCCCCCCATGTGCGTCTGCTTACATTTCTGCTTATTCTTGTGCAAAGTGCCGCCTGTGGTTCTGATCTCCCTGGCCTGGTTTAGGACCCTCTAGGGCAGTGGTGGGCAAACTGCGGCCCGCGGGCCGAATCCGGCCTGTGGGCTTGCCCCCCCCGTGGCGCCGCGAGCCCCATGCTGCTCCGGGAAGCGGCCAGCACCACATCCCTGCAGCCCCTGGGGGAGAGGGGGCAGAGAGCTCCGTGCGCTGCTCTTGCACGTTCCCGACAAATGGGAGCTTCGGGGGAGGTACCCATGGGCAAGTGCAGCGCGCGGAGCCCTCTGTCCCCCCTCCCCCCCCGGGGCTGCAGGGATGTGGTGCCGGCCACTTCCCGGAGTGACGCAGGGCCGGGGCCAGGGCCAGGGCCAGGGCAGGCAGGGAGGCTGCCCTGGCCCCGGTGCGTGCCACTGCAACCCCAGAGCTGCTCAAGGTAAATGGTGCCAGGCCGGAGCCCGAACTCCAACCCCCTGCCACACCCCTCCTGCACCCCAACCCCCTGCCCACGCCCCAACCCCCTGCCGTACCCTGCACCCCTCCTGCACCCCAACCCCTGCCCCCACCCCAACCCCCTGCCATACCCCGCACCCCTCCTGCACCCCAACCCCCTGCCATACCCTGCACCCCTCCTGCACCCCAACCCCCTGCCTGCACCCCAACCTCCTGCCCTGAGCCCCCTGCACCCCTCCTGCACCCCAACCCCCTACCCTAAGCCTCCTGCACCCTTCCTCTGCCCCAACTCCTTGCCCTGAGCCTGCACATGCACCCCCTCCCACACCCCGCAGCCTTGGCCCGCACCCCAAGCCCCTGCCGCACCCTGCACTCCTGCTGCACCCCAACTCCCTGCCCTGAGCCCCCTGCCTGCACCCCAACCCTCTGCCCCGAACCCCCTCTTTCACTCCACAACCCTCCCTGCACCACTGCCCTGCACCCCCTCCTGCACCCCAACCCCCTTCCCTGAGCCCCCTGCATCCCTCCTCCACCCCAACTCCTTGCCCTGATCCCCTTCCTGCACACAGCACCCCCCCGCTTCCCCTCCCGCACCCCAACCCCCTGCCCCAGCCGCAGCCCTACATTCATGGCCCTACATGCAATTTCCACACCCAGATGTGGCCCTCGGGGCAAAAAGTTTGCCCACCCCGGTCTAGGGGCAGCATTGCTGGGGCTTTCCACGACCTGGCTGTGGGGCTGAGGAAAGTGAAATGCTACATTGGGACAGGAGAGGGAGTTCTGTGTGCGCGTGTGTAGGAGAGAGGATTGTGCATGTGTGTAGGGAAGTCGGGAGGATACAAGGTGTGTTTGTGGCAGAGGGGGTCTGTGGTCAGTCGGGGAAGGGCAGTATGTGGGTGGGGAATAGGTGCATTTGGGTATACTAGCGGCGGTCATTCTCGTTCTGTTTGTACAGCACCTAGCACACTGGGGCTCTGGTCTGTAACTGGGTGCTGCAGTAATACAGCTAGTGATCCAGACAAGTTCCCAGGAGCACAAGGAAGGGGAGTAGGCAGGGAGGCGGGTGGGTGCGTTGCTCACTGGGTTGGGGAAACGCCCCCTGAACGTCTCTCTCATCTGCCCTCGGGCCTTGCCCAGTGTTTCAGCATCAAGGGCCACGACAAGGCCGAGCAGGTGAAGTGGCAGGAAGCGAAGCAAGCGTGTGAGAGCCAGGGCGCCGTGCTGGCCACCATCTCCAACCACCTAGAGCAAGGTAGGGCGTCCCCCTGGGGCCTCTTCTTCGGCCAGGGCTGGGCAGTTTCAGGGCAGGACCCCAAGGGCTGCCTGTGGGGAGCTTGGTCTAACAGCTGGGCTGTGGCCCCGAGACCGGCCAGGTGCAGAACCTGCAGACGGGGTCAGGAGCATGTGCTTTCGGCAGTGCCCTGTGACTCCGCCATTGATCAGCTGGTTCCCTGCTTCCCTTGTGTTTTCATCTTTCAGCTTTTATAACCTCCATCCTTCCCAATGTGACCTTTGACCTTTGGCTCGGCCTCCACGACGCCAAGCAGGAGTTCCAGTGGGTGGAATCGGAACCTCTCCGATACGTCAACTGGGCCCCAGGGGAGCCCTCCGGGTACGGCACCTCCGCAGCGAACGACAAACCGGTGAGCGACTCCCTGGGCCCCTTCCTCTCCGCACTAGCCCAGCCCGGCTGCCTGGGCGTGGGTGGAACGTAGGAATTCCCAGAGCTGGGCCAGCTAGCCCAGTATCCCATCCCCAACACCGGCTTCAGAGGGAGGAGCAGGAACCCTGCAGATAATCTACCCCCAGGCAGGTCTCCTCCTGATTCCTAATACTTAGAGGTTTGTTGAAGCCCTGAGGTTTATCTTCCGGGCACTGGCCAATAGGAGGACTCAGTCCTGGCAGCTCTGCTTGGCTAAACAATGGCGAGGAGAGGAGAGGTGACCGTCGGGCACGTCTCTGAAGGATGCGAATCCCCAGGCCGGGAGAGGAGCCATAGACAGCAGCCGGGCGCGGGTGGGTACCTAGGAGTCTGGGATGAACAATGAGCAAAGGGGGAAATGGGTCCTGATGGCGGAAGCTGTCGGGCTGTGGAACCGTCTCCCAAGGAGCTGGGGAGGGAGCCCTGCCTCATGGGAGGTTTAAAAGGGGACTGGACAGAGCGGGGGAGAATACGCCAGGGGGATCAGCCTGCATTGGCGGTGGGGTTGGGGCAGTGTCCTTCTCTAGCTCCCCTGTCTCTCCCCGTGCTGCCGCCAGGGCAGTTATCGGGGTCTGAAGGTCCGGGAGATAGGTAGGAGCAGTGTGCCCGGTAGCACTCTACGGGCTGGAGCCCTGGCTGCATTCGGCGCCCCACAGGAGGGGGTGGGGTTTATGGTGCCAGTTCGGAGGCTGGCAGCAGCCTGGTTTGGCTCTCGGCACCACCAGGAAGGGAGCAGAGACCTGGCCGTGCTCTGGCCACGCTGGGAGCGGGCGCCGGGGGGCTGGTCTCACTAGAGGAGTCTCTCCACCTGCTTTGGCTGCCATCACGGTGCCAGGCAGCCAGAATGTGGGGCCAGGATCCTTTCCGCTCCCAGGGACGGTTTCAGGGGATGGGCTCGGGATACCACAACTCGTACTGACACACACACACACACCCCCGACCTCCAGAGTACGGCTGGTCGTGCCCTCCCGCCAGCGGGAACGCAGGACCCGTGGGGGCTGCGGCCCAAGGGATGGCGTGCGCGCCTGGGAAGGATGCTCGCTGTGGCATGTCAAGCCAAGCAGGCTTTCGGCCGGTCTGCGTGTCAGCATGAGGGGCTGCCTTTGCCACTCAGCCCACGCGGCCAGTCGCCTCCGCTCCTCTGAGCGGAGCAGGGCTTGCAGAGGCAGCGCTGACCTCGCTGGCTTGTGTTTTGCAGACTAACTGCGTGATGGTTTGGCACGGCTCCCCTCCCCACTTCACTGGCCGCTGGGACGACAGGAACTGCCTGGAGGAGAAGCACGGCTACATCTGCCAGCGGAGCATAGGTAGGGGAGAGGGGCCAACAGCATTGGGCGTGTGCAGGTGCCTTGCCCGTGGCACCTACTGCAGAGAAGGCGGGGCAGGTGCAGGTCAGAAATGAGCTCTGTAACCGTAGCCCCTGGTGACCTGGCATCACGGCCCCCTACAAACTGTCTCTGTTGGGTCATTGGCTGCAGCTGGGCTTTGCTCCTGCCAGATCAGCTCTGCGCCCGCCTGTCAGCATCCAGCTTCTCTGGGCAGCATGCGCTGTGCCTGGGTTCTCTGGTACTAGCCACACTTGTGGGGCTGACGGTCCAAATTCTCTTGTAACGCGAGCTGGGGAACGGATCGGTGCGGGAAGCCTGTGTGCCACCCAGGCACTAGGTGTCTGTCCAGCTGAGAGTGTCCGACAACACGCTGCAAAGAAACGCAACCGCCGTTCCTCGAATGCCCCTCCCTGGAGTATCTCAGCAGCCACGCCAGAGCGCTGAGTCAGAGCCCAAATACAGGCTCCAAACATGTCCCCCCTGGTGCTTTCAGATCCTGAGCCAAGGCTGTGGGTTTGGGCCCAGCTCTAATACTGTGCCAGGCCCAGCTAAATCCATCTCTGCTACGGTGCTGCACCGCCCAGCATCAAAGCCCCCCACGTCCCTCCCGCCACGTCTCAGCAACCTGCGTCGCGCCTGCCCTTCTCCTTAACGGGATTCTGTCCCACGCGGGCTGCCTTTGCAGCTCACTCAGTTCCACCGGCCCACGTCTCGCTCTGCGTGTGGGCAGCACCCGGATCCTCACGTGCTAAACAGTCACAGCTGTGAGACTCTGAAGGCGCCGCGGTGCCCCCCGGCTGGGACTCCCCAGCCCACGCTCACACACACATTACTCAGCCTGTCTCCTGGTTGGAACAAAAACCTGCAGCTGATGGCTGTCTTCTCTCCCGGAGCTGGGTGCCGCCCACGGGGGGTGGGGCGTTCTGCTGTCCGTTCAGCGGCGTGTTTTGCCCAGCGAGATGCTTGCCCCGAGCTGGTGCGACAGTTACTCGTGGGGGCGTTTTCACATGGAAAGGAGGAGACTAAGGGGGGAATATGATAGAGGTCTATAAAATCATGAGTGATGTGGAGAAAGTAGATAAGGAAAAGTTATTTACTTGTTCCCATAATACAAGAACTAGGGGGTCACCAAATGGAATTAATAGGCAGCAGGTTTAAAAGAAATAAAAGGAAGTTCTTCTTCACACTGCGCACAGTCAACTTGGGGAACTCCTTGCCTGAGGAGGTTGTGAAGGCTAGGACTATAACAGCGTTTAAAAGAGAACTGGGTAAATTCATGGAGGTTAAGTCCGTTAATGGCTATTAGCCAGGATGGGTAAGGAAGGGTGTCCCTAGCCTCTGTTTGTCAGAGGGTGGAGATGGATGGCAGGAGAGAGATCACTTGATCGTTACCTGTTAGGTTCACTCCCTCTGGGGCACCTGGCACTGGCCACTGTCGGTAGACAGGATACTGGGCTGGATGGACCTTTGCTCTGACCCAGTACGGCTGTTCTTATGTTCTTATGTCCCGTTCCTGCCCGCTCCCCAGGGCCCACTCCCGTGCTGGGATGGGACGCCCTGTGGCAGTGCCGAGGGGCATCGCTCCAGTGCAAAGAGAGACTCTGGACGGAGATCTGACCGTCTCGCTTTCCTCCCCCAGACCCAGCTCTGAGCTCATCCCGGACCAGCTACCCCCCGTCCCCCAGCTCCCTGCTCTCCTACCTCAACAGCACCTACCGCATCCTGCAGAAACCCCTGAAGTGGCAGGAGGCCCTGCTGCTGTGTGAGACCCGCAACGCCACGCTGGCCAGCGTGCTGGATCCCTACACCCAGGCCTACCTCACCCAGGCCATCAGCAGCTTGCGGGCCCCGCTCTGGATCGGCCTGGCCAATGAGGAGGTAGGAGGGAGGGGCTTGTCCCCTCGGCAGTGGAGGGGAGAGGTGGTGGTCTGAGCTGCCCCTGAGCCTTCCCCTTTGTCGGTGGTTTCCAGGGAGGCCGGAGCTATTCCTGGCTCACAGAAGAGAGCCTCTCCTATGTCAACTGGCAGGACGGGGAGCCTCGGCAGGTCACGGGCTGCTCCTACGTGGACGTGGATGGGACGTGGCGGACGGCCGGTTGTGACACCAAACTGCAAGGGGCTATCTGCAAGGTCAACACAGGTTTGTGCGCCGGCCTCCCGGGAGCAGAGGAGACGCAGGAGGAGCGGGGGGAAGAAGCACATCGGGCCCCCCTGGTGCCACTCCGCTGGGCAGCTGCAGACCAGGGGAGTGCTGCTTGCACGCCGGGCTGTGGCTTCGGACCCCATGGCTGGGCGGGTTGCAGGCCGAGCAGCAAGAATCCATCCAAGGAGCGCACGCTGTGCTCTGCAGTGCTTCCTAGGGACCCAGCAGAGCTGGCTGGGCAGGAAGGTGTTCCAGACATGGCCTGAGCCTTCTCTTGCTCCTGCCCCCTGCCCCACCCCTTGCCTGTCCATGCAAGGCAGGGCACAGACAAGACCCAAACTCTAGTGTTGGTGGGTCATCAGCAATGCTCCGGCTTGCACCGTTTCCCTGGAAAGAGCTGTTTGGTCTCCCCCTCACTCCTCCTTGGGGTCCTGATCCAGCCACAGCTGTTTGACGGCACCCCAGATTAGCTGATTGGGGGGAGGGCAGAGAGCACCGAGCAGGCGAGGGCCTCAGGGAGGGGGCAGAGCGGAGGCGGGAAGAGACGGAGCGAGGGTGGGGCCTTGGTGGCGGGAAGAGGCAGCGTGTTGGCGGGGCCGAGGGGGTGGAGAACCACTGGGGACAAGAAAAGCTCCTTACCCATTCTTCGGCTCCTCTGCAGGGTCCCCCCGGTCACACAAGTGGAGTTACAGTGGGAGCTGCCCCAAGTCGGTGGAGGATTCCTCCTGGATCCCCTTCAGGAATCACTGCTACACTTTCCACATGGAGGTCACTCTGGGGCAGAAGGAGGCCATGAAGAGATGCCAGAAAGGTACGAACGAGGTTCGAGTGCCGCGAGCCCGAGCATGCGAGCCTAGGAATTGCAAGATGGTTATGACCCGTTAGATCATGGGCTTCCCCCACTGCCCGGGCAGGATTGTTCCCTGGAACGTGCCTGCCGGTGAATTGTCCAGTTAGTTTCAAATACCCCAAGCAGTGCAGCTTCCACCCCTTCCCATGCAGACCCAGTTCCATGGACTCCAGCACTTGCCATCCCTCACGGCCAGTATAAATTAACCTTCATCCCTCTTTCTCCTGGCCCGCTGCCCTTGTGTATCTCTGTCCTGGTGCTTCCCCACTTCAGTCACTCTCAGGCCGAATCTCCCTGTGTGTTCGGCATGTGATCAGCTGAGCCTGTCAATAGTCACTTCTTCTCGCAGGGCTGTGGGGCAGATCCTCAGGAGGTGTAAATTGTCAGAGCTCTGATGACCTCGGGCATTTTGCACCCGCTGAGGCTCTGCACGCGCGCGCTGATTGTCTGTGGAACCATTGCTGGGCGTCGGATCTACTTAAACAAAGGCCCCTTCCTGTTAGGTCTCAGCAAAGCGCGCAGGTGCACCACTGGGAGCAAGATCCAGCACCCGCAGGCTTCGCCTCCCTTCCTCTGAGCGGCCGGTAACGTTCCTGGCTTGTGCCTTTTCCTCCACAGCTGGCGGCACGGTGTTGTCCATCCAGGATGAGATGGAGAATGTGTTCGTTTGGGAGCATCTCCAAGCCTACGAGAGCCAGTCCAAGGGTGCCTGGTTGGGGATGACGTTTAATCCCAAAGGTAAAAGAAACACGTTGCAAGGGGGGTGATTTGTCTGGCTCCAGCGTTTTTAGAAACCGGAGAGGTTGGAGCCGCGCTTCTGACTTCACTGCCGATCGCTGGTGTCAGGAGGCGGCGTGGCCCCATGGGTGGAGCACTGGACTGGGAGTCAGGAGAGCTCGGGGCTGTTCCCAGCTCTTCCATTATTTGCCTCAGTTTTCCTGTCTGCACAAATGGGGATAATGGCACTGTCCCTCCTGTGCTGAGGTGCTTGGAGATCTACAGAGGGGAATTGCTAGATCTGGGCTCAGTGTTATTGTCCTCAGCGATGCACTGCGGCCAATGAGCGCTCAGGGATTGCATGTATCAAAGAGCCCAGGCATGTGGAAGCCAGGCACTCTCTTGTAGGCGCTGTTACCCGTTTCTCTGGGGGAAGAGGTGTCTTCTGCATGCAATGGCCTGCGTAGCTCTAGGCGCTTTGGGGTAGAAGGGTTTGCTGCGTCAGTCCCAGGGGAAGCGAGACGAAGGAGTGGCTGGACGTTTGCAGCCCCAGTCCGGTCTCCCGAGGGAGAGCTTGGCCTGAGACAGTGTCTTCGACCTGCCTGGATCACCTGCAGGGCTGATCTAAGGGGACCTGCAGGCCACGCTGGACATGGTGCTGGGATTCAGCACAGTCCTCCAGGACTGGTCAAAGGGCAGCCCATGGGCCAAGTGCAGCCCATGTTGCTCTGCAACGCAGCTTATAGCCACCCACGTCTTGGGAGACGACCAGTCCCCGCGTTCAACATGGCCAGGCCACTCCGCTCATCCTGCTGGAACCTCTAGACTCTGCCGGCTGCTGCTCAGATCAGAATAGAGCATCGGATGCTGGGAACTGTAGCATCAACAGTCTGCTCCGTCAAACGAGGGCAGCAGCTGCGTGCTCCCGTGTGACACTAGATAGGTATCCTGCCAAGGCACTAGCCCTGCTGCTCTCGGCTGGGCAAGGCCCCGGCTCCCCTTGCAGCCCTGTGTAATGGTCTCTTCCCTTCTCCTAGGAGGCACCTTGGTTTGGCATGACAACTCAGCCATGAACTACTCCAACTGGGGCCAGCACGACACCGGCCCCAGCATGCTGAGCCAGAACAGCTGCTACTGGATCCAGAGCAGTAACGGGGTCTGGCACCTGGGCTCCTGCTCTAATGTCACCATGGGGGTCATTTGTAAGATCCCCCGAGGTAAGAGGCCCCAGGGAGCCGGTTGACTTGGCTTGGTGGCTTTCACTGCAAACCAAGAAAGAGTTTGAGAACAAATGAACCTCCCGACGGTGCAGAGTATCATAGAAGATCAGGGTTGGAAGGGACCTCAGGAGGTCACCTAGTCCAACCCCCTGCTCAAAGCAGGACCAATCCCCAGACAGATTTTTTTCCCCAGATCCCTAAATGGCCCCCTCAAGGATTGAACTCACAACCCTGGGTTTAGCAGGGCAATGCGGTAAATCGCTCTGGGGCTCAGGTGCTGTCGAGATGTCGTGGATTGATTTTCTGCCTCTGGGGACCTGGCCTCAGATCCTGGTTAGAGGAGTTTGGGCGGGGGCAAGGTACTTCATAGCACCTTGTCTTCAGCACCCAGAGTGCAGCGCAGTGCAATTGCCAGCCTTTGCTCTGGAGAAGTGCAGGATCGACATGTTCAGAGCTGCGGCAGGTCAGGTTGAATTGTAATAGCAGAGCTGTGGGTGGGGAGTAGCAGATCAGGACGGAGGTGCATCAGCAGAGCTGGGCGGGGAGCCCAGGGTTGGAATAG